AATTGAAGGCTGATTCTTTGGCATAATTTCAGTAAGAAATATTAACTTCTCTCACAAAACTTCTCTCACAAAACATTATCAATGGTTTGCTACAAAAAGAATAAGGTTTACAATGATAAATGATGAAAGTTGCTAAGTGATAAAACCTTTAGGAAAATATTTTACCTTCAAGATATAAATGCACTGACATTTTCACAAACAGAGCCAGGAAATAATTTACAAAGGAAATAAAAAAGACCAGTGGTTCAATACCTGATTCCAGAGACAGAAATATGCTTTTTGGAAACTGTTTTGTTTTTTTGTTTTCCTAAAAACTGTTTTTTGTTCGTTCAAAATGGTGATTTAAAGAACTTCTATTGCACAGGCACAGCAAGGCGTCACAAACAGAAAATGTCAGGGCGATAAATCCGGAGCACAGAGAGGCCAAAGCTATTGATTTTTACATAACTGACATCAGTGGCTTTACTGACTTTTCTTACTGATATGTGTGTGTGTGTGTGTGTGTGTGTGTCTGTTGTTGTCCAGACCTTCCTGTTAGACAAACTTGAAAAAATGAGCTTATGAATAAATTATTTAACCTAAAACTATGAAGTTCACCGTCATCAACATTCACCCGACTGTCAACAAACAATTTTCTTGCTTTTCTTTCTTTTCTTTTTGTGACTATCTGTTCCCAAGCAGGAAATTCAACCCCTCAGGCAGAGCTGTGGAGGACAGCATGTTAAAAGCCTGCTACTCATTAGTAAAGAGATGACTGTCTGTATCCGCTGTGCAGGAGACCAGGATATGATTCCCATTTGGGAAACTGCTAGTTCATCATTAACCTCCTGTCAAAATTTCTGTGGCAGAGGCTTAACCACCGGAGGAAATTTTTATATCCAGAAAAAAAAAAACAAACGAACTGGCTGTGCTGGTTGGAAAAAGTTTGAAATGAAAACTGCCGATTCAGCTGTAGTTCTAAGATGGCCATATGCTCAGAAGAATGTGCAGTTTTAAAGAAACAAGAAAAACAGCTTGAGGATGTTTGGGTTTCCTTGATAAATGTCCCATACTTTTCACAACTACAGCTTTAATTCATCTGGTAAATGTGCAACTAAAAACATGCAGTTCCAAAAATAGCATGAATAAAAAGAAGGAAAGAAAATAGATTGTATTGGAATTTTGAAAATAAGAAAACACCAGAGAATTCATAAGTGAAAGTGAAGTGAATTATTTGTCACTGTGACACAACAAACCACTGCACTCACAACCAAGTGAACAGTGGGCAATTTTAAGGAGAGCAATGTGTGGGGACGGTGTCATGCTCAGAGCACCTCAGTGGTAACTGGGCAACCGGAAGCCTTTCAGACCCAAATCCGCTTCCTTAACCACTAAGACACCACTGCGACCATAATTTAGCAAAAGAAAGCTAAAACTTCCTCTTGATGACAAGAAAGAAGCAGAAGCAGCTTTAGAAGCAGCAGGACTCGTAGTCAGCAGAAAGACGATGTGTTATTTTAAAATATTGAAGGAGAAGTGGCCTCTAGTGAAGTCTGTATTAGAATAAAGAAAAGACACAAACAAAGAATTTAGAGTTAAGATTTTGAAGGTAAAAATGTTTCAGACCGCTGATAATAGTCAACATATATATTCACTGTTACATTGTCTCTGTGAACCAGCTGCAGTAGATGCCTGTGTTACTGTTACACAGATGTACTCGTATTTTACTCAGATTTTTAGACAGTCCAGTTTGATGATCAACCTCATCTCTTCACTGAGCTACATACTCACATGTTGGCCTGCCTCCAAACTGTCTACTGCTGTGGAACAATGTTTTGCCGTAAATGTACTTAATTCTAACCTTCTTCATCTACTGGTGACTGGGAGAATGAATAGTGGGAAAGAACAGTTTTCATTTCTTCTTTCACTGCTGCTGATTTACCGAGGCATTCTCTGATGAAATCTCAAGATACGACGATGTTGTGTTTTCACATTTAGCTGCCGTTATTGTCCATCAGTCAATATTTCCACCTGTTAAAGCAACAATTCACAAATTTCTTTGTGACATTTACAGGGCTGTACACTGGGAAATATTACTTTTTACTCTTCTCTAATGGATTTAAACAAGTGGTTCTCAACTTTTTTTGGCTTCTCAGCTCATTTTGACATCACAATTTTCTGGCGATCCCAGAGACATTTATTGTTGAATTAGTTTTTGATTATGTTTATGTGGTGTTTTTAAATAAAACATTTAAAAGTAATAAAAATGTGTTATTTATTAAATGCTTTTTATCACTAGACATTTTTGAAAAGCCAATTTGAAAATCCAGGCGACCCCATGTGGGTTTGATTTAAATTGAAAATTAAATGTAAACTATGTGCTCCATGATATTGGGTTCACTGCACGACGGCAAACCGTGTTGATTGATACATGATTGATACAGTGTGGATGTGCATAGTAGGTAAGCAACAGTATTTGCAGCTATATTAATTTTGGGTCAGCCAATTTTTAAAATAAACAAATGTTTGGGATAATTATTATTATTATTATTATTATTATTATTATTATTATTATTATTATTATTTAGCTGCCCTTGCTTGTAATTATCTTAGGTGTATTTGTCTTTATTTTGGGCCCTTTATGTTATGTTATGTTTTTTTTCCCTTTTTTGTTTTTT